GAATTAAGAAACTGTCTACATGATGCTATTTCTCAAATATGTCCTAACAGTAACAACTCATGCAAATATTACTGACTTTTCAGAGCTGAGGGCTAAGGGTAAAAAAACGTTTTCTAAATCTCTCCTCCCTCCCAAAAAATGGCTTACATAAACATTTGCTTTTCAAAGGATTAGTAAACATGTAGCACGTTCCTCTGCATTAGGGCAAAAGTGTAAAACATAAATGTCATTTTTTCCCTTCAGGGTTATTTCTAGACTAGAAAAAAAGCACACATTAAAATATAAGGGGAGTAAAATTAATTTTTGTGAATGTTCGCTGGACTGATGGATAACACTTTTCTTTGTTAACTATGACACAATATGGCTAAAGAGGTACCTTCATGAGACTGCCTCATTTCGCAGACCCAGCATGGCCTAGATGCTAAGGATGACACAGAGGAGTGGAAGCTACTGTCCCTGCCTTCAAGAGTCACATGGTCTAGTCATATGAACACAATGATGCATAATATATATGTTGTATATATTGTTATATTACATGCATGTATACACACATATATCATTTATTATAAGATATATTTAAATAAATTATTTACTAATAATTAATAAATCATGAATAACACAATGTATAATAAACTGCGTGGTCATGAGTACAAGAATGAAACACTGAGAGAAGAGAAGGACCCATGTGGGCAGAACTACTTTTAATCTCCGGGTCACAGTAAAGGAAACTGCAGCTCCTAGAAGTTAAGCCACTTGCCCTAACCAGCAGGAAGAGATGGGACTGAACTCCAGACCTCCTGCTTTCAACAGTTCTTCCTGAAAGGGAAAAGGGCAAGAGCAAAGCCAAGTTGACTGACTTGTGAAGCAGAAGTGCTAAGAAACCTGGGTGCTGACTCCAAGTCTCCCCAAGAGCTGCAGCAATGAACTCCCGATGGCAGAAAGCCCATTTCTAAGAAGCACGGACATGGTCCAGCGCCAGGGAGGGGACCCAGGAAGCCCTCCTGTGTCCTCCACCTCCGAGGGCTGCATCCTCCTCCAAGGAAGGTAACTGTCATGCGTCGCTTCAAGGAGGAAAGAAAAAAATTCTTCTGTTGGAAACTAAACATTGGCTCTGCCAATCCGACTTCACTGAGGTCATTTGAGAACGGAGGAGTTCAAAGGTTCTCTACGGCTTCCATTTACTTTGGCAACAGATTTAACAGAAAAAGAACTGAGGGGGAATTTATATGGTCCAGGCCGTTTTCCAAATCGCAAACTGCTAAGGTTATTTAGAATTTACTTTAGCTTGCAATCACACGTAAAGTGGTTCAGATGTAAATGCTTTCCGTGTGGCTTAAGGCAATCTAGGGTTCCTCAAGGGTACATGTGCAGTTCTAATATTAAAGATTTGGATTCAAAAATCTCAAAGTACTTTGGGTTCCTCTTGATTAGAGGCTGCTGTTACTTTATGCAACGCTGGGTAGGAGAAGAAATAAAACACACTGCCTTCATTTGGGCATTAAGTTCTCACAGTAGCGCTAAGATAAACAAATCTCACAGGCTGAGGGAAGGGCATTTACTCCTTTAAATTGAGGATGTAATATAAATAAATGTCTTTTAAGAAGAGATGCCTGAAACTTGAGTCTAAGTCTGAATCTACAAGAGGGCACTCATTTATTTTGATGATCAGCACAGCGCATATGGGGGCAGCCATGCCCTCCTGAGAGAGGCGCTGCTCTAACCAAGCAGGATAATTCACTAAGTCCCAGAAAGATGCTGCCTGAAATCGTCTCATTTGTTCACTGGCCAGGAACAAATTGATATTTGCATTTTTATATAGAACAAAATGGAGGGAATTACCAGATTTTTTATCTTGCAATCCATGGCTGCCTGAAGGTTTTTTCAATTTTCTCTAAGGCCCTCATTTTGTGACCAGCCAGGGTAGGACAGAAAACCTCTAGCTCCAAATTAGAAGTGAATGGAGAGGAACTTCAGGCTGGCTGGGGCCACAGCAATTAAATGGTAATTGCCTTTTAGATACACTAATACTGCTAATTATATTAGTGTGCTAAGTGCTGGGAAACATGCGTAAGAGCTCCGGGCCACTCTGGTGCAGAAAAGGAGCTAAGATTGATTAAGCCTGGCACTGAGCTGGACCCATCACAGAGGTTCTCTCCTGAAATCCCCACACTAACCCATGAGGTATTATTAGCTTCCATAAAGCTGAGTAATTTGCCCCACTGATTCCAGTTGTACGTGACTAAATCAAGAGTCCCTCCAGAGTTACGTGGCTCCAAAGAGCAGTGGGTTGGCAGAACCTTCAGTAGGAGTGGGGAGAAATATGGGATTAAAAACTGGAAGAAATTTGGTAGCAGAGCAAGATGAGAGTCTTTGAAAACCAGATGGTGAAGAAAAAGTCTGAGAGTGTGAGGACCCTGATGGTGCCTTTCTTTGCTGTAGGTGGAAAGAGAGGGCCCAGGATGGGGAAGCTTTGTGGGCAGAATCTGGGGCAGCCTCACCATCAGAATACAGGAGGCTGGGAGGGCAGGAGCTGCCACTGTAAGAAGAGTGGCCCGAACGTCTGAGGCTGAAACG